GAAAGAGTGTCTAAAAATTCTATCGTCAAAGAAAATTTTTTAAAAATATTCTTGTACAAGATAATAATTCATATTTTATATATAAAAAGTTAATATAAAAGTTTAAAATATCTCTTATCATATATTATTATCAAATAAATTTATAAATCACACTTTACAGAAGGAATTCAAACGAAAAGCAATAAAAAATTTGATTTTAAATTGATTTCACCTTTTTCTCATGATTAATTCAAACAGATAATGAAAGTTAAAAAAAAAAAACATATTATTTTTGTCAGAGAAATGTAATTATTAGGTTAATGTAGGAATTAATTATTTTTTTTAAAGGGTTAATCCAATATCCAAACGTAAAAGAAAGTGAAATTAATTTGTTTTATCAGTTTTACTTTCTTTTATCATAGTTACCTAATAAAAGTGAGAAAAAGAACAAAACCCTATCAGAGCCTGGTTTCGATCCAGGGACCTGTGGGTTATGGGCCCACCACGCTTCCGCTGCGCCACTCTGATTCTTGTAAGCATTTCGGTCTAAAACATATAACACTCAATACTTTTCCTTAACACATTTCCATTGCTATGTTATATATTTGCACAATTGCGCGCGTTGTTACGCTCCTTTCATTAACCAAAACGACGCGTTTTGCTCCAACCTCGCGTAATGCGGAACCACATTTTCTGCTTCTCGAGGCGTCGTTTACCACTCGTCCACCGTCGTTTCCTCCGCCACTTCATTTCCGGCGACCTGTACGACCCGCCGTTTTCCCCTTCTCCGAAACCGCAGAAAGCGAAGAAGAAGAAAATTTCCGAAAACGATAGAAACGAAGCTCCGAAAGTTCCTCTTAAATCGGAGCTTCCATTCGACTTCAGGTACTCTTATTCGGAGACCGGCCCGTCCGTTCGGCCCATCAGCTTCCGCGAATCGCCCAAATTCTCCCCGTTTGGGCCGGGCCGCCTCGACCGGAGATGGACCGGTGTTTCCGCCCCGGTTCACCACGAACCGGACCGGAAGAGAATCGAGGGGGAGCGAGAAAGGGTCCTCGGAGCGCCGCTTAGCGAGGAGGAGGTGGCGGAGCTTGTCGAACGCTACCGTCACAGTGACTGTTCCAGGCAAATGAATTTGGGTATCTTCTAATTTTCTCTCAACTATTATCATTGTTACAAGAAAGAACAAAAATGCAAAAGTTTTTTTTAAAAAAATAATTAAAAAAATTCTGTCACTTTGATTCCTACATTTAATAGACGTTATATTTGTCCTGAAACTAAAATTTAATAAATAAATTTGTAAATTGATAATTACATTAGTCTAATATTTTAAAAAGAATAGTGTAATTAAATTGACTATTTGAATAATAGTTAAATTTAGAGATTTATTTGATATTAAGGATTTATTTGGCATTTTTTGTTTTAGGGAGTAAGGTAACACTTTAAAGACCATGAATTTTTCCTTGTATATACTGGTGCATTAAAGACACTTCCTGTATTTGTAATAAAAGAAAATGAAAGTGAGTGGTTAATAGTAAGTGGATGTGACGAGTTTTTGTTTAGTTGTAGTTACAAGAGTAGGTTTTGAGAAAAATAGTAAAGAAAGTAATTTGAGAGATGATTTTAAGGATAAAATTGTCTAAAATAATGTGGTTATCAAAAAGGATAATCTGCTTTATGTAGATGGTATAGATTCCGGTGTTAGTACAATGTTGGATATGCTAGTGGAAAAGCTTGAAGATGGGGAAAATGTGAACCTAAAATGAATTTAGTTCTGATTCTGTCAATTAATTAGAAATTATTTTTAAAATAATTATCACAAATTTTTTTTTAGTAATTTTATCATACATGACAGTTTATGATTGGATTGTAGTTTAAAAAATCTTTAAACTCTTAATGTACTGCTTGCTAATTAAATTCTTGTAAAACGTCTGTTGGCTGCTTATGTGAATGATTTGTTTTTTTTTTTTGTTTATTATTGCTGTTACTCGTATCAATTTTTCTTTCTTATGTTTTTGTCCACTTAATTTGGGAGTTTATGTGCTTATTTTAAATTGAGGTTATTGAACTTACTTGATTTGATTTAGTAAGGGCTGCACCTTTTGGAAAAAAAAGTAAGGAATTGTAGCTGTTGATTATTAACGGCCAAAATTCTGATAAGATTTAAATTTAAATACAAATAAATTTGTAACAAATTGCAGGGCATCAAACTTAAAATTTAGAGTTGAAGTTAACATTCAATTTATGTGGTAGTTTCAAACAGAAATATAGGTGTACGAGATTTGTGGTTGGCACTATCTTTAATGGCATTGGTAGTCAGGGTTATTGGGTTGAGTGATGGTGGAGGACTACAGTGTAGAAGAAAGAAGAAGAGGATGGAGAGAAGGAAGAACTTTTACGAAAATTAGAGAATTTATAAAATTATTTATCAATAACTTTTAGCTTTAAAGTAGCTATAGGTTTAATGTATTTTTTTTTTAAATTATCAAACAACTTTAATTTTACTTTGGAAGTTCTTATTTCTAACTTCAACTTTAACAGTTTTAAGCTAAAAAAATTGAGCCAAACACTATCTAAGAGTTATGATGCTTCACTTTTCTATCTAAAAGGGCATTTAGAGGAGTCAAATTCTTTATTTTATATAGATGAGTTCTTAAGCAATTAGCTAATGATCTTTGTGTTGTGCTAGGGAAGGGGGGAGTCACTCACAACATGTTGGATGACATCCATAACCATTGGAAGAAGGCTGAAGCTGTGAGGATTAAGTGCTTGGGTGTGCCAACTCTTGACATGGACAATGTTTGCTTCCACCTTGAGGTCAACATTGTTGTTTTGAACCTTTAAAACGTTGATACGTTGATGATTCTGATCTAAACTCCCAGAATGCATTTCTTTTCCTCTGAGGTGTGTGTTGCTGTGTCCACAGGACAAGTCTGGTGGGAAAGTTATCTACCGCAACATTAATATACTGCTTCTGTACAGAGGACGAAATTATGATCCTAAGAACCGTCCAGTTATTCCTCTCATGCTGTGGAAGCCTTATGCACCTATATATCCTAGGCTTGTGAAGAATGTAATCGAGGGTTTGACATATGAGGAAACAAAAGAAATGAGAAACAATGGATTGAATTCACATCCTCTGATGAAACTCAGTAAGTGAATTATAGTGTAGTAGAGGCTTACAAAAGTTTGCTTTTTGGTCCAAATTTAGTTCAAAGATTGGATTGGTACAGATGCTAAATTGTGGTTCAATATTCAGCTAGAAATGGTGTTTATGTGAATGTGGTGGAGAGGGTGAGGGAAGCTTTGAAGGCTCAGGAGGTTGTGAGACTGGACTGTACACATGTGGGAACAAGTGACTGCAAAAAGATTGGAGTGAAGCTAAGGGTATGTCTAATTGTCTATGGAATCATAAAATTCAGTGTTTTCTCTGTTTTTATGTTGAAGTTAAAATGCGCATGTGGTGCTTGAGCATTTAATGGTGTACATGTTACTGCAGGATTTAGTGCCATGTGTCCCTATCTTGTTCAAGGATGAGCAGATAATCCTCTGGAGAGGAAATTTCGATGAAGAGCAGCCTTCAGATTCACAATGCCAGCAAGTAATGCAAAGTTGATCTTTGTTGTTAAAATTACAATATGGTACCACTCATACAGGATTTCTGGCTTTTGTAGTTGACGGTCTTTATGGTAGTTGATTATTAAACATATTTTCAGCTACGTTGTTGATACAAAGTGCATGTACTTAGGATCCTCATGCACCATGGCACGGGTAAGATTGTGGACTAGACATTCTTGATCATGTAATTACAAGTCCTCGTTTCCCTTATTACTGAAATGTTCTGGGAATAATTGTCTAGTCCTGTGATACGTGAGACAGCTTGTGGAACCTATTCAAAACAATACTTTTCTGCTGAAGAAAGGATTGGCCGGGGATCAAGACAAGTACTTTCCATACACATTTTGAGTGGTCATTCAGTACATAATAAAGCCAATGGATTGAAGAAAGGATTGTCTTTTTCTTGGAGAGGATTTTTTCATTTTCTGGAATGGTTTCAGTTTCAGGCTTTCAGCTTATGAAGTTGTAGTATTTTCAAAAGTCACCAAGGTCCGAGGTGTTAATAATTTAGGCTAAGCTAGCCTCTTTGTTGCAAATGACTTCCCGTATGTCTTTATTTCAGCTTTTAAATGAAGAATTTAATGTGATGACACAATTGGAGTTTCATATTTTCAAAATTTTATTATGTTTATGTTATAACACCCTTACGACTATTATCAGATATACAAACATTTATTTTGAAAATAAAAAATTTAAATAAATTTTCTTATATTTAATTTAATTCAAATTGACGGATAATTATAAAATTATTTTATATGTTGATTTAAATTGATAAAAAAAAGTATCAAATAATTTTTAAAATTTTCAAAAAAAATTTAATTTGATTTATGCATTAAGAATTTTAAACTTAACGGTTGAATCATTAAAATTTGATTTAAAACATGAATGATTAAACAAAGTAAGTTTAAGTAAATTTATTCATAGTGTTTTTCTCTCTCTCTCTTTATATATATATATATATAAGGATTGTTAATAAACTCTCACCAATTTTTCAGTTAGAATTTGTTAGTAACCAATACAAAATTTTAGACCAAACAAAGTCTTGTATTTTAATAAATTTACTATTGGGGTAATATAGTAACTAATTATTTATTCTTTTTTTAAAAAAATATATAACTCATTTCTCTCTCTTGTTCCGTTCATTATCTTTTTTCCTCTATTTAGTTCTCTCTCCTCTTTCATTTTACTAGAATGTTTGTTCTTTTTTTTTCTTCACTACATCCACGTCATCCTTTGTCTCTTTAAAATAACTTTGAATTAATATAAATTGAAGAAAACTAAAATTGAAACTAGAAGAACCAACAAGTATCTAACTTGCTTTTGCATAAACTCATCTACTATATTTGCATTCACTACAAACACCAAAGTGGCCAAAATTTTTGCTATTAACATTGACGTAATGTTATCATTTATTAATAGAAAAAGACATTATGAGAGACAAGAGAAAAGAGGGAAAATGAGTTAAAGAAGGGAGTTAAGAGGAGAGAGAAAAATGGTTTTTTTAAAATAAATTAAGTTTTAAATTAGTATAATATCCTTAATATAAATTAATTAAATAAAAAAATTTACTGGTTTTATTGTTTTAAAATTTTGGTGTAGGTTGCTGACATACTCTAACTAAAGAATATGTGAGAGTATGTTAACAATCCTCTCTCTATACATACACATGTTAAGGTGAGATGTTTCCCACTCTTTTTTATTTTTGTTGTACTTTTATTGAATGCTTTGTAGGTGATGATCATCATGACGATGATGCAGGTGATGAGACATGAGCCTTGTAGGACATCATCATGTTGTACTTTGATAGGATGTGACATCGAGATGCTTCTATTAGAACTTTGATTTCTTTGAATTTCCTTTAAGATAGGATTCATATTAATTACTTTGGATTCATGTTAGTTATTCTAAACTTGTAATGGTGATATGCAACCACGTGACTTTTAATTAGTAGTTATAAGAAACTATTTTCCGTTATTTTATAGTTACATGAGACTTATTTGAATTTATGTTTTTCTTAATATTGGTACTGACATAGGCATAAAGGATGTCATATTTAGTAGTATCAAAGCCAAGTTGACTCAAATCGAACGTGTGTGTTATGTGTCATGATTGCATCTTCTGTGTGTACTATGATAATGTGTTATGAGGATGTATGATGATAATGTGTGATGATGATGTGTGATGACAATGTATTACCTCTTGATTTTAATAGACTACTTGATGTTGATATGTTTGCTCATTGTGTATTAGTAGTATAGTTGGTAGAAATGATAGTGTGATCACTAATGCTTCAAGTATTAGCATGAGCAATATAAATTGATAGACTAGGAGGTGCACCTAGTTAGTTAGAGAGGTTCCAATATCATAGTCTACCCTTGTTTAGAAGAGGATATGACCCTGATTTAGAAGAGGATATGGCCCTGATGTAGCAATGGAGTGATTGACTAAAGTAGAGAAGATTTTTAAGGCTAAGAAATGTCTTAAAAACAAAAGAACGTACAAAATCAAAAGAAGCAAAATAATTTATTATGTGAATTATTAGGAAGTAGAGGCTTCCAAAATGTTACTTTTTGGCCCAATCTAGTTTAAAGTTATCTTGAATTGGTCCCAATCCATCAATTCAACTTGATAGTTGTTACTAGGTTGATTGACTATTGTAGTCGATGGTCTTTATATGTGGGAGTTTATTATTCAATATGTTACAGTGACTTTGTGGGTATAATGTGCATTGTGCTCTTGGGATCCTCATGTTGATCATGTAATAAGAAATGTTTTATGTTACAAGAGTTGTTTACAAAGCCAAGTACAAAAACAATCTTATTGTTTCTTATTGGCTGAAGTTTTTTTTTAATCACTAAGAAAAGTAATTCAATATGTCATAAAGTTTCACATCATTTAAGAGTCAAAGACAAGGTCTTCATAAACATTTTCCTTCTTTAATCCATCTAGACATCTTTTTAATGACAAAAAACGTGACGGTTCAACAAGTTTTAAAATAAACAATATCTCGATGCAATATCTTTAATGATTCTAACAAACTTGAGATCAAAACATTGACAATGATAGAATATGGGTCTAGACAACTCTTATTCCTTAGTCTCAACGGCAAGTTTGTCCTAGTATGTCAAAAAATCTCACATCTCTTTAAATGTGAGTCTCTTAACTCACCAAGATGCCTACAACGATGGCAATCAAAATCAAATTTAAGTCTTCGTGTAACTACTCCAATCTAATCAATACAAGTGGTGAAGAAAAAAGAGGAATTTTGTCAAAAACCATGGAGATTCATTGGTTTACAAGAGACATGTGCTACCTTAGACAACATGGTACCTATTCAAAGCATTACTTTTCTTCTGAAGAAAGGAATGGCCAAGGAACAAGAAAAGGAGTGGTCTTGCACATATTTTTTTAGTCTCATTCACTATTCTGTTTATAATAAAGGCATTGGAGTGAAGAAAGAATTGTCTTTTCTACTGGAGGCTCTTTTCACATCATCCAATGGTTTCAGCTTCTGCAGTAGTAGCATGTTCAAAGTCAGCAAGATCAATGGTGCTCATAATTTGGACCAAGCTAGCCTCTTTATTGCACACGACTTCTTGTCTATCTTTGTTTCAGCTAGGCAATGGATTGTGGTTGGTACTATGTTTGCATTTAAAATGGATTATGGAGAACTACACGTGATGATACATTAGAATATTATTATACTTATATTGTAGTTGGTTTGGTGGATTTGAAAAGAAATTAAAAATAAAATAAAGGAAACAAAAACCAACTCTTACGTAAAAGAAGGTTTGCAAGTAGCATAAACTCAATCTCATGCAGATGCGAGCATAAAGTTATTATTCAGTGGCTGAGGAAGGGAATATATAAGAATAAGATCATATCACACAATTTACTCTTTAAGAGGTCAAACTTTAGTCAAGTAATCTGCACAACCATTGGTTTACAACAACAACACGAGAATATTTTTATTTATATTTTAACTAAGTAGGTTAGTATGAACAATGCATATATTAAATACTTATTATATGTAATGACTAAAATTTTTAATAAATTGTATAAAAAATAAATAATTTGTTTGAATATATAGATTATATTCATAGATATTTTTAAATATATAACTTATATTTTATATTTATAATAAATAATTTATATCGTAACACCAAATTATTTTTATTTATTGATAATTTATTTTTAATATATTAAAATTTAATTTATAAATAATTATAACAAATAAGAACTGAATTAGATAAAAAAAAAAAGTTAAAAGAATTTTTAAAACTTTGAAGAAAAACTTTTAAAACTATTCTCACACAAGATAATCATTTGTATTTAATATATAAGATCAAGATTATATAGAAAAAATAAGAAAATGAATTTGGTTTCTCTTGTTTATTGATTGTAAGACTCGTTAATGTATCTTTTTTTTTTTGTTTAATATAATTTTATCATATTACTTAACAATATACTAAGATTGGAGTAAAAAAATAATAATATACTAAGATCTTAATTTAGAATAAGTGTTTCAATGATGGAGTAGTAGAGCACATAAAGCTCTAGGAGATGTTTGTTTCAAGTAATCTTTTGGTATTCTCATAAATATGTAGGTGAAAATATCTATTGACATGTGTGGTAGAAAGTTACAAACATATATTCTTATGTTTTATTTTCTTTCAAAGCAAAAATGTTTTATTTTTAGGAATATAAAACTTTCATAATTTTACGTTCCATGGAGGATATTTAATATTTCCACGAGAATGAATGTTATTTTTTTAATAACTATTTCTTTCCATCTTTTCATTCAACATTTCTTCACTCATTTCCATTTTTTTTATTTTAATTAAATAAAAATATTTTTTTTTGCTAAAATTAATAATGTCAAACATATTCATGAGAATAACATTCTTAAATATAATATTCTTAGAAATGAGATATTTTGAAATACAATATTATACTTTGAAACAAATGTCCTTTTGACATATATTTTTGGGTGCATGAAGAATCTATGAACTTTGTTAACCATTAAATTTTATTTTTTAAAAAAAATCTATCTTTAAAAAAGTTCCTTTTTCATTACCTTTTTTTCTTTTTTTTTCAACAAGAGTCAAGCCGATTTTCATGCTCGTGTTTACTCATAAGTCAAACCAACATGTAAGTCATAAAAGGCTTAATACCAATGCATGCCATTTTACACCCCAGGAACAGCAAGTTATAGTTATTAAGGTGATAAATAAAAAATAAAAAACAATAAACGAACAAAAGAAAGTGTTATACAATAAAGTTAATTACATTGTTCTCAATCACTTGAATCAGAATCTATCAGTCAATGCCTAAAACTAAAATAGGTCTTTTCTTTTTCCTACTCGTCACAATATCTCCATCTTTCTTCATTTTGCCTTGCAAGGACACCACAACGTTACATTGTACTCAACAAAGGGATGAAATTCCGATGATTTGATTTGAACACAACAATTCTTCATTAGGGAGAAAGTATAAACAATAACCCTTTTATTTTATTGGTAAATATGATTTGGGCTTTTGTTTAGGATGCATATAAACTAAAAAATGCGTGAAAACATCACTAAACTTTTCAACCATAGCATAAGTTAATCATTTGAAGAACACACTACACACAAAGCCAATGTGATTGTTTTAGTAATAATTCTTTGTAAAAAGATGAATCCGAACATTGAGGCCAGAATTCTTGCATTCAAAGTTAACAAACACGCTTTTCTTTACAATTTCAATGGTCCAACTCGATGCTTAAAATAATTACAAAATTCTAACAATTAAATAACTCGGAGCTTGACCCAACTCTGAAAAGAAGACTTTCCCATGAAGCAATAATTTATGACCTCATCTACCAACAGCAAGTGGGAATTGAATGAGTAGACTCAAGTACTGTCTCTAAAGCTTTTGGTTGAATTCCAATAAATGATAAAATATTGCAGAAGTATTAATTGGTTGGTCAAGTCAATTTGATAAGCTTCCATATTTTTCATAGTTACTCAAGCATGGGTCCATTTGATAGTTTCCAACAAGAGTGCTTGGTCCCGAGTAGCACTGCTCCTAGTCCTAGATAGGTAACAAAAGCATGTGAAAAAACTAAATTCAGCTACAAATGTTCAATTCTATATTTTCAATACAAGACCATTACAAATCTAATTTCCTTTAACACCATATCCATAACTTTCATTATTTCTTATATGAAGTCCAAATATAGTCCTATAATTACTTTGTTTACCTACCTGATCAGTAGCAATGTTTTCAAACCTTTATTAACAACAACAAAAATTAAAAAGATTCTTTGAGTTCTTTCTAAATTGCCACTTACTATAAGTGCAAATATATGTAGCTAATGTCACAACAAAGTCCATTTCCCACACCTTTCAGTCTCAGATGCCAAAAACATATAACTTCTTGCTCTCTCTTGTTAGAAATTCAAAAGCATATGTAGAAAACATAAGAGTCACACGTCTATTTTATCATTATGTAACAAATCAACTAATATGTTAAGCTCTCATCATGAGTGTAAAACGTAACTTTTTACAAATTCTAATTACAACAACAAAATTGCTGCTAAAAAACCAGCTAATGAAAAGAATAATGAAATTCAGGCACAAGAATGAAGATCTGAACCTGATGCAGTCAATTCCAGAATCAAAAGCAACAGTGCACCTTAGCCATATCTGCAACCAACATAACACAACCAAAGCCCCCTTTGGTTTAGCATCATAAGATCATTTGGTCCAAAATAAGCTCTTCCAGTATGTACAGTGGCCTTTCATGGATTCAAACTAGCATGGCTAAAGAAGTCTGTGCTATAATTTTGACTACCAAATGCCATTCTCCGAAATAATCTTATTTCTGCAGATTGCTGTGCAGAGTCAAACACCTCGCTTTCCCCAAGTCGCATTCCATTAGTTAGATCTGAACCTGCTAAGCTATCGAATGCTCTAACAACCTACAAAACATAATAATTCAGGAAAACCAATGTCAGCAGTTTGTATATGGACAAAACTTAGATACAGTACTATAGATACTATTGGTGATGTTATTCGATTAGAATGGCGTGTTACCTCGGTAATACATGTTGATATTTAATAGAATTCTTTATTAAACATATTACCAAAATAAAACTCAAATTCTAATCAAAGAACAGTACTAACAGTACCATACTGCATGTAAGTTGTATCCTACTTCATGTACTTGCTAAATTGTTAGTTGATAAGCGAAGAGAACATTTTGCCACTTTTCCCTTACCTGTCCCATGCGAGGTCTCTTTGCAGCTGAATGCCGCACACAAGCAGCAGCAACTTCAATCATGCAATACAATTCACTCTCAACGTAATTCTTTTCTAGCCTTAGATCCGCCAAATTATCGAAATCCTCAGTATCAAGTGCGTGACTCAGCAAAGGTCGAGCCTGAAAAAAAAGTAGTGGCAACTTTAAGATGAAACAGACTTGAGAACATTCAAGGATGGTTTAAGTGAACATGTTTGACTTTTACGAGTTTAGACAGTTTCTAGCCATTAAGCTATAGTTTCATTATATCTTCATGTTTGCATGCATAATAATTGACACAGGTACACTATGACGAGGTCAACTGAAATGTTCCTTTTCATAAATACAATAACAAAGCATTTTCAGTTACATGGTTTCTTCATTCTTCTTCAGTAAGATTGAAGATGACTATCGTTATCTTATTAAATTATCAAGTGCTCTAAAACTTTAAGATACAATGATATGAACTAAATTATGCATACAAAACTTAAAACCAAAACATTCTACTTTTCTACCTTGATTGCAACCATGGGTATACTGCAAGGTTTGCAAAACAGTATGCAATTCGTCATCCTTATCATCCGTAAGTTATGGTGATATATGATGACAATTCCAAAGAGAAGAAAAGCACAATCAAGAAATAAATTTTAATCTCAAATCAATTGTTTTACCCATTGTTGGGAATATGAGAGGCATTAAACACCAAAGAGAAATTCACCAATGAGTCATGAGTCAACTACACAAGTAAACTTGACATAAGTCTTGACCCAAAACTCTTAAGGTATCAGGTTTACGGTTTTTGTCACTTATATATGTTCCTCAACATACTCATCTCTATCCAATGTAGAATTTCTTATTCACACTTGTAAACCAACATTTCTCAAACACTATTAGCAAAAAGATAGCTACACTAGCAAAAGAGTGATAAAAGCAAGACTGGCAACTGTATATACCCATTCAACTAAGCTTTCATCTCCCAAAGGTTGGGATGCATCAACTGGCTTCCTTCCAGTAATGAGCTCCAAAAGTACAACTCCAAAAGAATATACATCAGACTTCTCAGTCAATTTTCCACTTGATGCATATTCAGGGGCCATATACCTTTTAAGAGGGGAAAAAACCAATGTTAAAACAGTTTTTTGCACTAAAAGATCTATTAGTCTTGACAAAAACAAATTTGTAGAGATATTAATGAATACCCACCCAAAAGTTCCCATGACACGTGTGGTTATGTGCGTATTTGCATCAAGAGCTAATTTGGCTAGCCCAAAATCTGAGACCTGTAACATAATTGGACCAGTAAGATTTCGATGGACATAAATTGAACAAACAATATCAAACTTTGAATAAGTAAAATGACAGCTACCCGAGCTTCATAGTTGTAGTCCAAAAGAATGTTTGATGACTTGATATCCCTATGGATGATCCGAGGGTTGCCTGAAATGTGCATAACATTCTATAGAATCATGAATAATACAACATCTAAGCATTATCCTACTAGATGGGTCAGCTACCTGCATCAATTGATGCAATAGTGTTGTAACATTAAAAAATATCTACATTTGACAAGATTTTATGTTGGTTGCCAATTACCTAACTCACTTCTATTTCGTCCAATCTAGTTCATGATAACCTATTTGGATAAATTTCTCCTCAAACATTCATAGCTAAAGAAAATAAGAAGAGAAAATGAACTAAGCTTTTCCATGAGCTAAAGCTTATGCATACGCTAATTTGTAGAAACTTTTTTATATTGATTTCTCCAAAAACTTATTTTTAATTTATGCATAAGCTAATATTAGTTTCTAATTCATTTTTCTTCCTATTTTATTTTCTTATAAGTGTTGACAGAGAATTTTATCAAAACAAGCCCATATTAGAATGTTGGTATTTATAATAAAAAAATCAAAGTATGATTAAGTGGTCCTCCCCCTCCCCCTTTTTGTCAAGTTAAACAAACTAGCAAAAAGAAAGCTTATAAATCAAGCTACTGTTCCCCATGTACTTCTGTCAGGAAAAAGATACGCATAAAGTCCAATCTTCTAGCTACCAAGCACACATCTACTGTCTACACTAAAATGTTTTCTAGCATCCATCATCGATTCACATTCATTCAAATACTGATATGGATTTTGGCCAATCAAAAAATTCAAATTTACAAAAGGAAAATGGACTCTAGGCATTTAAGTGCATGTCAAGACCAAGAATAAAACAATAAGGATTGGTAATTACAGTCTTCATGGAGATAAGCTATTCCCCGGGCTGCACCGGCTGCAATTTTAACACGGTTTGTCCATTCTAGCACAGGCTGACCTTCCCCTGCAAATTGAAATTTCATGTAATACAATCAATGTTAATCATCACAAACTGAAACAATCTTTTATCACTCAGATGTAGTTTTACCTTGCAGATGAAAATAAAGGGTATTGTTAGGGACATAGTCATAGACAAGTAGTCTCCTGGTGTCTTCAATGCAGTATCCCACTAAAGAAACCAAATGGCGATGATGTATGCGACTAATAATTTCGACTTCAGCCTTGAATTCTCTCTCCCCCTGACCTCCTCCAATCTTCAGCTGTTTGACTGCTATCTCTCTCCCATCAGGAAGGTATCCTTTATACACACAACCAAACCCACCCTCACCCAAAAGATTTTGAGTTGAGAAACCATTTGTGGCCTTGATTAGTTCTTCGTATGAAAACCATGACCTTGAATGGCCTAGTCCACTAGGGTCAGATGGTGTGTACAAAACATCACTGCCAGAGCCACTTTGTACAAGAGGAGCCGAGGAGTGTGTCTTAAAGAAGGATGAATCTGCACAAAGTCACGCACACTTGAATTAATTTAATGGCAACAAATTGACAAAGGTTTAAGTTCTTTTAAATTAAGAAAGTCACATAAACTGGTTAAGGGTTCAACCAATCTAACATATGCAACAACAATAATGAGAGAGCTCTCTTATTAAATTTCAAAAATATCAAACTACCAAATAAAAGAGGGCATGATAAAGACATAACAAGAATGAGACATAATTGTCATGTTACTTTGGATAGATTTCTCTATAAACATTTATAGAAAAAGACTATTAAATGAATTGAGTTTCTATCAGAAATTAAGTACTTAACTTTAATAAAAACTCTCTTGCATCTCATCTAACTTCTCCAAAAGTTGATGAATTTAAACTCATGGAAGAAACTTGTGTCAATTTACCTGATTCAGGGGATGAAGCGAGAGTGGATGGCATGACATAACCACCATTCAAAGGCACCTTTTTCTTTTGCCTCCTCATGCACCATATAAGAACACCAATGAAGCCAAGCAGCAGAATTCCAGCCACACTAATACCAATTACACCACCAATGCCAATTCCTCCTCCACCTTCACCGGGGCTTGAGTTTTCTGTCCCATTCTGCGGCGGCGGTGGCGGTGGTGATGAAACTCGCGACGGCGGTGGAGACAATTGAATAATAGAAGGTGGTGGTGGAGGTGATGATCTTGGTGTAGAATTTGAAGGTGGAATTGGTTGAGAACTTGGTGTAGGAGGAGGACTAATCCTAGGAGGAGGGGTGGATGGTGCTGGTGCCGGTGGCGGCGATGACCTTGTCGGCGGCACAGCTGCCGGCGGTGGCGGTGAGTTAACCGGTGGCGGCGGCGACCGAGTGGAGTTTCTGGGGGGTGGTGCTGTCGTAGGGGGTGGTGAATTTTTAGGTGGCGGGGACCGTGGCGGCGTGGCGGCCGGAGGAGGTGGCGAATTTCGCGGTGGTGGTGATGATGAGTTGTTTGGTGGTGGTGCTGATGGCTGTGGCGGTGGTGATGATGGTGGTGGAGATGTATTGTTAGATGGTGGGGGCGGTGGAGGGCTTCTTGATGGAACCGGTGCTGACGGTGGTGGCGGTGGTGGAGAGCTAGGTGGAACTGGTGGCGGCGCCGGAGAAGTTGGCGGTGGTGAAGACGGCGGTGGTGATGGTGGAGGTGCTAATGGAGGGGAAGTTCCAGACATGGGGGGAGGCGGTAACAGCGGAGCAGGCGGCGGCGACGCCGGAGGTGGGGTTGATGGAGGCGGTGAAAGGGGAGAAGGGGGTTGTTGCGGCGGTGGAGTGGCGGTGGGGGTGGACGGCGAGGGACTAGTAGTGTTGGAAGAAGGTGGTGTTTGTGGCGGTGGCGCAGCCGTGGATGACGCCGGAGACGGCGACACCGCGGACATGTCACGTGCCAATCTCAACACAAACAAAAAAATCTAAACTTTAAGATACCATGATAACAAAAATAACCATATACTATGTATGGTGCAACCCCAAAAATTCTTAGAACCCAAGTAAAGATGAAAACTTGTGATGATGATGAAGATAGTTGTATTGTATTCACCAAACTTTACCAACCAAAACCAATGTCTCAACTCAATTGTCACTCATCAAAATCACAACCCAGATCAAAAAAAGTGATTTTGAGCAACACCCACATCACCACACGAGTTCCAATTTCTAGATCACACAACCCTGATTGAGAGAAGAAACTCAATATTCCTCAATGGGAACAATCTGGTACCCTTTTCTTTTCTGTTCCCCACAATCTATCAAGATTCTAGTCTTGTCAGATTTTGCTGACACAGTGCAAGTACGGCACAGCACCTAAAACACCACTCACTCTCAAACCTCAAACCTCAAACCTCAAACCTCAAACCTCAAATACCTTTGCGTTGTTTGAATTGGAATAGTTCTTCTCCTCTCCCACAACGCGTTTTTTTTTTTCTCTTTTCTTTCCTAAATAAAACATCAAATTTTCAACCTATGAAACTCGTCTGAGGGTGTGTGTCTTGTTGGCATAGGCTACACAGGAACACGGTTACACGGATTGTGGTGTGGGGTCACAAATCCAAAAACCACGTGAAAGCGACTCCCAAGAATGCTACCTCACAATTCTCTTTTAACATACATCAACCTTTCAATCGTTTTTCTCCATACACAGCATATTAGCAGCAGTTCCTTGGAATTAAAGCCTCCTTTTGATAATTCATGCAATAAAATAATGCATTAAAGGTTAGTATAAACTAATGAGGTGAGATTCCAATTTCCAATTCAAAAGGAAAATATCATAAAAATATATAAATATATAAAAACTACTGCATTTTAATTTTGTCATATTGTTAATTGTGTGTTTCTAACAACTTTACTAACACAGATCATTGCCTCTCACCGTGATAAATAGTTAAAATCAGTACAAACTTGTTGTTTCTCATTGAGGTGGATCGGATTAAATTTAGCTTCTGAGTAAACATGCATTAAATCCATATCCTTGCTAACCAAAAAAACATCATTTTTAATGTAATTATGATATATTATGAGGGTAATATAATTTATACCATGAACTAATAAAAAAATATTATTATGGTTTTCAAAATAAATATTATAGAAATTAATTAACTTATTATATACAATGATACTCATAGCAAATCCTTTTTGTTTCTATTGCGATTTCTTAATTAAAACTTACTATATTCAGACGATATGTTATTAAATAATAATATAAAACTCTTATCACTATTAATATATAAAATATTTGTTCTATGTTAAAATTTATTTTAATTTATATACTACTGGAAGTAACATTTTTCCTTTTTATACTGCTAGCAACTCTTGAAATTTTCTCTCTGATATTTATAGCTAAAACGTTATTCGTGTGATATTATTTTAATATTATTTCTTTACATATATAGAAATAAGTTGAAATTCTACAAACTAAATAACTCTTTTATATCTTTGAATTTATTTAAGATTATGCATCTACCAATGGAATGGTTCATAGAAGATTTCTATTCAAACTTTTTTTAATTTTATTTATAAGCGAATTCTGTTCAAACTTTGACATTAAATTATAGCAAACAATAAATAAAAGGGTCACGCAACGTAAAGGCGCCGTTCACAGAATTGTCAAAGTTCTTTTAACTCTCATTTTTCTTCATATTATATCATAACTTGCAAAGTTTATATATATATATATATGTATCAACATCATGATATTAAATTACAATAAAAGAAATATGTGAATGAAATTAATTAATACAGATAAAATAAATTACTCGCCACCCTTAAATGTTAGCTTTGCCTTCATGCTCAAACTCAAATGTAAATGCAGCGTTGGATACTATTATTTATTTTTTTGATGCTATATGAACAAGTAGTCGATAGAAAAAATAATGTAATTAACAATAACAAGGTCACTGTAAGATACCATCATCAATATACTAATTAATGTTATTTGTCATTAGTAATGACCTTTTGGTTCTTGGGTGCCATTTTTTAGGTCATAATATCCAGCTTTGGTTTCGTAAGCAGCTTATTTTATGCTTTTAGGATTATCTAAATAATGGATCATTTTACTATTATTATTTAGCGAAGTGGGGATTTAGAATTGAACTTAATTGGACATGCATGAGCTTAAGAATAAAAGATGTATAAACTCAGAGATCAATAACGTGGATATGTTTGCACTATTAATTAATGAAGACAAAGACAAAAGACAATGTACCACAAGGGAGACAGATAATTAAAAAAATTCAAACTGAACTGAATCTATTCGTTTTATAAAAGTGGATTGATTAATTGATCCGTTTTTTATAAAATTAATCGGTTTGATTTTTTTAAAATTGAATTGGTTTGATGCAATGTAATTATCAATTTTTTTACTCATATATAGATTAATTTTAAAAAAAATCAAAACAAACCAAATCCATCCACTTGTAAAAATGAATCAGATAATTAAACCGATTTTATAAAATTGATCAGTTTAGATTTTTTCTTTTTTAAAATGAATTAGATTTTTTGATACGGATTGGATCAGTTCTAATCAATTTGAAATTTTTGCACACTCTACATATAATAAGCATGTACTTTCTTCTTTTTTATTTTTCTGATTATTGTTTTTGATGTTATTGCAGCACGCAGGATCATAATAACGAGTGGTTTATGTGTTTAATTTAGTACTATTTTTTTTACGTATAATTTAGTACTAGATAAGAAATTGTTTTTGTATATTGAGTATTCGAATTTATAAATTAAACAACAATAGAACTTATTGTTTGTTTTTAAATGTACAAGACTACAGCATTGCATAAAATTGCTTATTATAATCCAATGAATGAAACGGATTTTATAATGTATACAACAATGTGATATCCTTTTATAAATTTTACTAAAATTTTAATTAATAAAAAAGAAAAGAGAAAATAATTTATACACCAATAGTATAAATAAATTTATATTATTATTTAATTACAAATCGCCATGTACGTTAAGTTCATAATTTGTATAATAGCTATATTATTTTGTTACCCGTGAATAATGTTAAATTGTTTTACAATAATATTAAACTCACAATAAAGTATCACAACTGAATTTAGAATTATTTTAATGTAAACATTGATTCTAAGAACATCTTTCCAATGAAGCAAAAAATCATTATTAGTTTTGATAGTGCATAGCCTAGATTTGCTTGAATGAGAAACTAATTATTGTTCATATCGAATGATCAAGTGGACCATAGGATGAGGATGTCAGAAGAAATTTGAAAGTGGCCATGTGGACCAATTTGTCCTATCAAACTATGTTTGGCAACCCGTGAAAATCAAACATGCGATGAGATTGTAAAATCCTTTAAATTATGGTAACATTTCGGATCAAGAACTTACTAACATAGATTGGAAACCTTCAAATTTGTCTTACTTTTCCTTTTTTAACTTTTACTTTTTTTAGTCTCCTTTGATAGCTATGTTTCTTCCTTTTTTTCTTTTTTTCCTTTTTCCTTTTTGTCTTGCTTTCATTTTCATGTCTACTAAATATCTTTATGCTTAGTTAAAAAAGGTGCATCTGATTTAATTTACCAAATTAATCCTTAGATATTTATTGTTTATCTACATGGAAAGAGTAAGAAATACAAGAGAAATATGTATGAACTCGATTAGTTGTATTATGTGTCAAAAAGAAAATAAACAAATAGTGTCAGTAGAAGGTTTACAAAATTGAATCGTTTGGTTGGATCGAAAAATTGGATGATTAGTTGAAATAAACTACAAAACCAGCCTAGAAAAATACTAGTCAAAGAATCAGAAAATTAGTCAAAATCTAATAAAATGGGTCAAGAAACTGATGAAAAAAAATTGTTCACGACGGGTTAACGAAAAATTCTTAGTTTAACATTATTATTTTTAAAAGAAATAAAATCAATCTAAAGTGTTCGTTATGTTATTTTCTATTATAAATAGAAAATTGTAATTATTAATAAATGTCGATGTGTATTGTTGAATCTTAGAGTCAAATATTATGATATATTTGATTTAAACATTTGTTTTTTGTTAGGATTCAATCACCAATATTGATTGGTACAATTGATAATGACTTGTGTTTTTTAATTAAATTATTCAAAATTTAAATGTTAACTTTGAGTATGAAATTGACTATATTAAAAAGGAAATAATATTATAAAAAATATTTTATAGTGATACACATCTTATAATGATACAATTTTTGTTACTAAAAATTATTTTTACGTACAATATACATTGTTCTATGTTAATAAAATATATTCTCATAACTGAATCTCCTCTAAGTCTTTAGTTAATACTTGAATAAGATATGAAGTTGAGGATTTTAATTGATTACTAGAGAGGTGTGTAATATTGCAAGGATATTTAACTCCTTGTAATCCTTAGATGACTTAATTAATGCATGCTAATGTCATGGTAGACCCATACTCAAGCTATGTTATACCTAACAGTGCTGATATCTGAAAAACCATGTTATAAGGATTGATATTCCAATTAGTTGTTGATCTAACATGTGTAAAAAGATCGGTTTGTTCGACAAGGTCAAATCACTTAGACTATTCACCTTTATTGTAGGAGATCTCCATAGGTAAATGTGTGACAACACATGTTGAGTTGTTATGCATATGATGTGGTGAATTTGGTGTTATTCATACGTTGTATGATTTTTTGGTTGTTAAATGGAATTGTTGTTGATGTATGATGAAACTATTGTTTTCCTTTTAAGGTTGTTCAATGTCATGTGGTTTAGGTGTATTGTTATGTTGTAAGTCATGGTGTGGGTTGTGTATGGTTTACATGTTGGCAATTGATAGTATAGTTGTATTTATTACTATACTTGTTGTATGATTATTCTTTTGTGCACTAACTTATCCTTGCATATTTTTTAGTGATTAAACTGTGATAATTATATTTACATGGGAGCAAGACAAGGTTAAACTAGAAGCTTTGGAACGTTGAGAGTCAGGTTGGTTATGTTGGTTGTGTGTAGCTTGTTGCTAAATTTTTTATAGTAATTTTAGTAATTATTTCTTTACCGACAACTTAAGATTTTTTATGTTATAACGTTGGATTGCTTTACATATGTATATATACTTGTATATATAGTTATATATTAGTACATATATTCAGATATTGTGATTATAGTAATTCTATATAATTAATTGCTTCCACCACTAATTATTAATTTGTTAAATATAATAATCATAACGAGTCGTTATAGGTATTATTTTGCATGAAAATATGATAGATGATATATTTATTGTGTTTATTATGCATTATACTTAGTGTAGTCACCTATCAAATCTTTGCCTTTCATCCATACTATCAAATCTTTGCCTTTCATCCATACATGCCGGGAACAAATTTTGACAACCAAAAAAATCAACTTATTTTGTATTTTAATGAGAGTTTTAAGAAAATAAATTTATAATAAATTTGAAATATTTTATAGTGAAATATTGGATGGAAAAAAATTAAAAAGAAATTAAAACTCTAATAATTTTGTGAAGATGATTTCATTATTTAAAATTATGAAATCTTAAATTCTATTAAAAATATAAGAACTTAAAAATTTTAATTTCCAATCTTTCTGTCTCCACTTTAAATTTTTTTTCTTTTTC